CAGGCATGGATTAACATATGTGAGAGGCTCAGAGCAGGACAAGAAGATATTGACGCCAAGTGTATTCCACAGGTGCAGTACAGAACAGTCGTACATATCAAATATATCAAGTAGTTTTGTCATGTGACATTTTTGATCGCGGACCATGGGAAGGGGCTAACCACACCCATTCGCATCCTCCTTTTCATGATCAATTTGTGTTTAATGATTTTAATATAGATCTTGAACATTTTCTTCTTCAGGTCATGACAATTGCCGCAGTTGAACCCACTTCAGCCACCCAAGGTCTGATATTTTTACTATTTTTCTTAGCAACGTTAGAGAGGCACATGACAGCAACTAAGATCTTCCATAAACTTGCTTGCAATATTAATGCTAAAACTGCCACTTTAGATAATGGAATTTCAAGTTTTCTGCCATTTGAAGTGAAAATAAAAAAATAAATTTCTCTTTTTCTTCACCCTCCTTCCACTTCACTCCAGCACCMCACCCTCCAACTCACCCTCACCTACTCTTTATTATGTCTTTGTCTTAATTGTTGTTTTTTTTTGATTATCAAATGTTCACAGAAAATACCAATTGCCCAAACTACTCTAGAATCTACACCTTTTTAAGTTCTATTCTGAGAGGCCAGGCTAGCGTAGCTGGTCTCACCCCTGTTGGTAAGTTGAAAAAGTGCAAAGGTATGACCAAGTAATGTATTCGTATACTTCTATRCACGAGCTTTTGTACGTTAAACTGACACATTTCAATGCAAAGCTTGCTGGTTTTACCAAATAAGGTGTGTAATAGCTCGTTTTGCAGCGCGAAGCTTATGCGTAGAAGTATGTAAATAAATTAAATGTGGTCATACTTTTGCATGTTGTGCCATAACAACAACCAGAAAGTATTAGACTATTATAGACTACACTAGGATGGCTGCTGCATACTGTGCAGCGCTTTGATTGGCAGAAAAATCATGGTTATTTCTGATGAAAAACAAAGGTGTTACTATGATCATTATCATCTTTGAAATTCAACCTCCAAAAATCTTATGAAACTCAGAAGTACAATGTAGTGAGTGCAAACATCATGAGAGACTCTTAGGGGAAGTGATGGTTGTAAAATTTTGATTCTTTTCAATGAAAATCATCATTTTTTTACCTAAAATTAATTTTCCGATTCTTGGTTCTTGTCATTCATTTTATGAAATCAAGGCATTTTACTTRTATATCAAAGACATTTTACAAGTCTGAATGTAGGTGATTGGGGTCATGACAAATGACAACCATATCACAACTTATAACTACCAATTACTAGGTCATCTTAAGACCCCCGAGTGTTGTTCTGGATCCCGGGGGGGGGGGGGTACTCCCCTATATGCGCTATATGGGTAAGTGCCGCCAAACAGGGTATGGTTATCAGCGATTCTACACTGGAACAGGGTATATAAGATTGCGCTCGCTCTGGGACAGGGTATATGAAATCACGCTCTCTCCTCTCTGGAACAGGGTATCCATTTTCACAAAGCAAGGGTATCCATTTTCACCAATGTTGCTCTGGAACGGGTATGAATTTCAGCAATTTTACTCTGGAACAGGGTCAGGGTTCAGTGGGYTCAGCGGCACATCCCTACCCTAAATGGGCAAGAGTACCCCCCCCCCCCCCGGGTTCTGGATAGGGATTGGACCCACAACTTCCCACACTACACGCTGGTGCATGACTGAAGCTACCTTATCAATAAATAAATAAATATTTCCCAGTAAGAGATAATCTTTTCTGAATAAACAGATGCCAGGGTGGTGCTAGAATTGATTCAAAGTTTAGAGGTGAAAATAATGAATGCCGACCTTCTTGAACAGCAAACGTTTTTGAGAAATAAATACACAAGCCTTGCTAAGGACCTTGAAAAAGAACAAATTGTTCTTGCTATGGATGAACTTCAAAAGGAAATCGGTGATAAAGATACAAGAGAGTTGAATTCTTGTGAAGAAAAAGAAAGAAGTGGGACAAGTGATGGTCAGTTGTGCAAGACAGAAGCAGCGGCATATACAAAAGGTGATGAAAGATTTAAGGGTCTTTATACATTGGCGTCATTGTGCTCCAATTGTAATGTAGATGAAATAGGAGGCGAGGAAGCTAAAGCACCAATGGATATTCAAATAGAAAAGAGTTCCGAGACTTCAGAACCTTTGCCCTCACACACTGCCTCAATTGTAGATTTAGAAGATGAAGGAAACATTTCTAATTCAGATGAAATAACAGAAAAAGCCAAGACACCAATGAAAATTCAAACAGACGAGAGATCAGATACTGCTGAGTTTGTGCTGTCAAGCACTGCTACAGCTGCAGATTTGAGACAAGCAAATGACAAAAAGAAGCACACATCCTTAAACATTGAAGCTGAAGAAGRAACTTTGCCGTCAAGCACTGTAATGGCTCCTGAATCAGAACAAGCAAWCATGGATGAAACAAACACCATCACTAATAGTAAAACTAGTGACACGCCAACGAGCAACAGCTCTATATCATTTTTACAGAACACTTCAGTCACCCCAGTGTCAAAACGAAAGAGGTCAAAAAAAATACCCATTCTTGAACCTCCTGAGGAGTCATTAACAAAGAGTAAAATAGAGTCTAGAAAATTGAAGATAAAAAGGCTGAAAAGAAGTTTAAAAAGACCCAAGCTTTCGTCCTTGAACCCYGTATGTGTACCTGTGACAATGTTAAATATGAAACCAAAGGTTCATCAGTTGTAATYGTTTTCACAAATGTTGTTCATTCTTACACAGAAAATAGGAAAATAGGAAAAAAATATTTTTGAGCTAATAATAGATACTTTGTTCTTGTTTAAGCGTACAAACAGGAAAAATAAAATGAGCTTGATAATCAAAACGCAAAACGCAAGCCTTTTGGATTTAAATTTCATCAGTCATAATAGTTTTCACAGATGTTGTCCATTTTTCACATACACTTATAACAATGACCTGAGAGAAAACCTTAATATAGCTGTAACATGACAGCAAGTAAACCCAGAATRCCAAAGACATTTAGGGTTGATATCTGTGTGATAAAGCCATGAATAAAAACTATATCGGTAAAATGATACAATATCCCTTCACAGTAAACTGCAAATTTTGTCATTTTATCGACCTTAAATACGTAATAAACAAATAATTACATGTTAACAGCTTGATATAATATCTATTTATGACAATTTTCGATATGCTGGCTTTAAAAAAATCATTGAGGAGTTTTGTTTTTTAAATGAAAAACATTGAATGTTCATCATTTAAAAAACCAAACTCAATGATTTTTTTTAAACCAGCATATCGAAAATTTGTAACATAATCTTCCATATGAAACAATAATTATTCTGTAGGGAGGGAATGTGTAAAAATCAATTAAATTTGTTTTAAAAAATTCCCTCCTACAGAATTTTTTAATATTTTCTTTCTTATGTTTTTGAAAACGATCACCATTGAGGTTTTTAGTTTAATTATAAAAATTCTTGGGACAAAACTTTGTTTTGTGTGTGGAAAGCCATCCCAACCCTCCTTTGAACAAAAGGTTTAAGTTAAAAACTATTGTTAGACCTACACTTTACCGATATAAGCAGAGCAAATTAGCACTAAAAGTAGTGTGAGCATGATGTCATGGTCCAATGGAGCAGCCTTGACATCTGCTCCTATTATATTTCATWTGCYGAAATAGTYTGATTATCCTGCAGTGCGCTGGAAGATATTAGGCTAGTTGGAGTCAAATCATATATTTTAATTTCCTTATTCTCTTGAAATACATGCTTAGTTTTTTCATTCATAATCATTTTGATATTATGTTCAAATGTTTGACTTTGAGTTTTGTAGAAATAGAAAACTGAGTGGCATAAATGAGATAAACAATGAAAGAAAATATTTTTAGTTTTAGAAAACATTAATGAACAATGACRTTGCTTATTATTTAGGTGCAAAACTAAACCCAACACAGTTAATGGAAATATTTCCTGGGATCAATGTTGACGGCTTTAATGATTGATCATTTTTACAGCTACCTTATTAGATAATTTTCATTCCTACAAGAAATAATGAAATTAATTGCAGAACTCTTACAATTAATATTTATGCTTTCAGCAAAAACTAGCTTATTTTCTAGCTTTTTCCCAAGACTTTCATAGACATGATAATGAAATATGACAATGTTTATATAAATATAATGTAAATTTCGTCAACTCAGTGATGGATTACTGGAATAAAGACCAGTTTTCTCTGACTGGTCRAGAGCTCTCTGTAAGTTGGTATCAAACAATTCACATCTGAAAAAAAGACAAAAATAAAAAAAACTTCTTTAGCTGGTAATAAATACTATATATCAAACATTTTCTCATAAATGAAGAGTTTATTTAGCAAATTTGTAGAGGTTTAAAACAGTAAGATGAAGTAATTGTGAAATAGCTGATAGAAGTCTTATAATCTGCTACGAATAGTGGTCAAACACTGACCACCATGTGTTCTCAACCAAAAAGAATTCTATTGCTCTATTATAAATCATCATTTAGCTGGACATTGGACATTCCACAAAAGACAAGCAATGACGGTGAAACCCAGCAATTATTGAACAAGAATAAAAGGTGTGAGCAAAAAACATTCTAACCCATTTCTATTCTTTTGTCTTATATATTCTCATTTTACTACATGTTCATTCTTTTCCATTCTTTCCCATTCCATTTGTTTGCCCCACCCGCCACCCCACCCCAAATTAACATGTCCAGTAAATAGAAAGGACTTTAAGAACAAAAAAAAGGTAAAGTATCTATATTTAACATCGGTAGTTCCTTCAGTTGAAATTCAACTGCTATCAATGGAAGCCRMCGGTGTGCACTATACCCCCTCTCCATCAGTGCTCTGTTTTAAGAGTATTTAAAGCTGAAGCTACACGAATTAGARAGAAGTSGAAACAGACATGGGGATCCTAAGGATCGAACCRTAGACCTCAAGCTCTGAAGGTTGCGCACTAACCAACTGAGCTACGCCTKTAGTCCTAAGAGAGAGATACATTCTTATTCTATTATATTTTCATTCTTTCCCATTCCATTCTATTTGATGACCTACCTGATTGGCATATCTAATGAATAGAATGGATTTTTAAGAGCAAAATCCCCATATAATTCATATATTTTCCTCAACAGTCCTTCAGTTCCTAACTGTTTTGGATCRGTCAGTAAAATGAACTTGAGCCCTGCAAGACAAGTGAAATAAAAGATATATTGAATCATCATTGACAAGTAGTGGGGGTTTGAATCAAGATGTTCAATCTAGAAGATACAAGACCATCATGGACCAGGGCATTCAATCATGCACTTATTCCGCAGTAATCTGATTGAAATGTTAATRAAACAGAGAATTCAGACAATTCATGGGTCTGGCCACGCCCACCACACCCCTCTCGGCTCAATCAGCATAAATAGAAAAAAAAATCAGATTCATTTTGTACTCCAAAAGGTAACACATCTTTGTTATGTTTAGTTCCTTCAATAGACCTCCAATATTCTCTGTCTTATCAAATACTGCTGTGTTCCTTGATTGCAGACTCATTTATTCAGAATTAGCCTCGTATCAGTGTYGAAATATTCACAAATACCAACRGTAAAGTAAAGAATGCACAACTTCAACAATACAAACACTTTGAAATTCCACAGACTTTCACTGGAACACATRAATATYCTACACAAAATCAAGACTAGCACTGAGTAACAAAAAATTCAAAAATAAAATATACGTTATCGTTTCTTCCATTTTCAATTTTTTTAAGTAACACATCTACCTGTTTGAGACTGAAAGCAGTGCAGTTTGAAAGAATCTGCCTCGAGGATTTCRATCCCTGATGACCGATGCTCTGGTGACAGTTTTGCTGCTATTGCGAATAACCTAAAGGTAATACACATAAAATTTTTATTTTTTGTGTTACTTAAAAAATTTTCCTACCCCAGCTGCGTAAAGGGAACTGATAGTTGACACTTTTCCATCCTCTCTCTCCTCCCCAAAAATTTGTGAATTTTCATATGATAGATCTTTCCGAGTTTGATACTAAGGGTGGTGCATTGTGGTCTAGTTTGGGTAAATACCTCTCATTCATCATACTTTATATGGTGTTCTTCATACCCAAGCTATTCCACAATGCACCATGTTCAATTCATTTACCATAAGCCTTTTCTGAGTTTGACGAATATGATGCATTGTGGTCTGGCGTGGGTACAAACAATGTATATAAAGAATGAAAAAGAGGTCTTTACCCAATCTATTCCACATTGCACTATGTTTACTATCATAGAACAGACTCGTACTCAGTAGATTCTCTTGTCTTATTGATCTCACGGTGCATCTTGAATTTGTTATCTGCCAGTCGTCACTTTTTCTCTCTCCTTTCCAAAAGCCATCGCGCGCATTAAAGAAGCGTGAGTGACGACTGGGTACGAGTCTGATCAGAGAAGGTTTATGATTCCTCTCAGAGACACAATCTACCAACAGAATCACCTTTGATTCCCTTACATCATCTGTAGATTTTCTATTCCTTTCATACTCACGGGTGAAACATGCTAGCCAACATGATTCGTTCATTTGTTTTGAGCTTGAGCCGACCAAACTTTAACGATATAGGATAGTTATCMGGGTTATTTAGGATCTCTCGTACATCACGTCCATCAGGAAGTTTCCTTGACACCACAGGCTCTCCGTTGATGGCGATCAAAGCATGACCAACTTGTAAAGACAGAAATAAAAGGACAGTTCTTAAATTAAATTTCTCGATCTTGAGCCTTTTATTATATCTGCTATAGTTAAAATTTCTCCCTTGAACGACTTTTCAAGACGTGAGTCTTCAACATTGGTACATTTTTTACCTTTGATCCCACCTCCTTCGCCAAATATCACCTCTAACTTATCATCACCACCAAGAATAATATCTAAAGGATAGCTGAACGTTTTTTCTATCTCACTTTTAGGCGTGTAGTGGTCGTAATGRTAAATCAAACCTCCAGCACGATTTAAGATGTAAACACTGAAGATCGCCATCTTGGTTACCCATCATGCACTGCAATCTCGTCAGATTGGACGGGGRAAAACCACAGGTAACCCAATTAATAAATGAGGTAAGTGCAGACTTAATGTTATCGCAGGGGCGTAGCCAGGATTTTCCGAAGGGGAAGGGGGTTGTTCCCCTTGCCCCCTGGCTACGCCTTTGTATCAATCTCAAGTATTTACTTCCTGTCTCGTTTTACCCCATGGGAGGAGAGGAGAGGCGAGGTATTTAATTTGATCTCCAATTAAGGTTTTTCCATTTTTCTCCCATTTTTTTAATAGGGTTTTTTTTGACCCAAATAACAGACTTCACCTCTCCAATCTTTCTTAGCGTTATCCTTGGTATTTACTTCCTGTCTTCTCTTATCCCGTGGGGGGAAGKGGTGAGGCAGTTATTTTTTCTTTATAGGTTTCCCCATTTTTGTAAGAAGCACGTTTCCAGAACTTTAGCTTTATTTTTGACGGACAGCGAGTGAGGATAGCGAGGAAACACAGTGGATTTAATTTTCGTGCATTCTTAAGGTAGATTTTTATGGTATTCATAAAGGATGTTCGTTTAATCATTGAAAAACAGGAGTTCATACGATGATTTTGAAGGGATTTTCTTCTCAATATACTTTAATGAAATGCAAACAGACACTTAACAAATAATATATAATTTAACCAATTTTCCTATCGGCAATTTAATCGCAAATAAAGAATTCTGTAAAGTACATGATTATGTGTGAAAAAAGGAGGTTATTACTCTAAGGCAAATCCGCTCTTTGTTCATTGGTCAAAAATGTTAATTTATTTTGAAAGAAATTTAAAACAATGAGACCATTACAGTCTCTGCGCATTGAAAGAGGCGGACCAATTAGAATATTTTAGTCACTTCTACGTTCTCACGAAATATCTTATTTCTCAGTATTCAGTATCTTAATTTTTCCTGGTTTTTTTTTTTTCCTCTTCTTTTTCATTGCAAGAATTTCCTTAAGCGAGAAAGCCCTACTGTAAAATTTGTTTCAATTGTACTAATTAGTTATTTCACTTTACGTAATACTTCTTAGCAGTACAACTGCAAGATGCTGCAGTAAAAGTTTGGGTAGGCGAACACTGTAGTTTTCTTTTACATCCTCTTTGACATTGTGTTTCGTTGAACATCTTAATGCAGCCGCCCCTGTATGGGTCTTTGAAATAGACAGGATTTTGTTTTACGGCTTTGCACTTGTGTTTTTCTCCAACATAACCAGTACACCTGTTAAGCTGGTAAAACTGGTTTAAGCCATCGATTTTGATTATTTGTGGATAGGAACCACACGGAAATTCGTTTTGCAGTTTGATAACGGGTTGCTTTCCTGAAATGACAAAAAAATAACAATTACGAACCGCTGCCGGTGAATTCAAAAGTGGTGTTGCGGTCGAATACTCTCATCGCATCTGTAGRTCTTTCTCATGCGATTCGAGGATTTTTCTCCGCTTTTCCTCAATGCTCAAAAACCAACACACTGAATTCTAATTCAATCTGTGGGCTCAAGTTAGCCGTGACGTGATTTCGATCASCCCATGCAGAGGTTGTTTCAGGGTTCTATCTGTGAGTTATCCATACCCTGACTTAGATCAGCCCAGAGGTTGATTCAGGGTTTTGTCTGTGAGTTATCCATACCCTAGCTTTGATCAGCCCAGAGGTTGATTCAGGGTTTTATCTGTGAGTTAGCAGTGCCCTGATAAAGATAATTCCAGATGTAGAAAGGTTGTTTCTTGGTTTGATAAAATTGAAGTTTTTACTACAACCATTAGATCCTTTAACATCTTAAGGTTTTTTCTCCGCATTCATGCTTTTTTTAAGTCAAAAAAAATCCCGGATGCAATACCTTTACATGTAGCAGATTTTGTCTCAAATTCTTCGATGGATAACGGCTCTTCAATGATTTCTTCCATCTGCGGAACCAAATATTTAACATTCATAAGTATATGTTTTCAAGAACTTCTAAGATAGCATTGACCTTTAATGAGTGGGRAAGTTGGGTTGGGTAGTGTATGAGTAAACTAAGGGAGGGTAAAAAAAATAGAAGCAAAGGTCGTCTTGATAAATGTTTTTTCATTCAATCCAAAGTATTATTCTTTCGTTTCCCCGGAGCCTCGACTAGGTRATTGTTTTGTGCTTGATCACTCAAGCTATTAATTTTAAAAGTAATCCGAACTATCCCCACCAACCCTTCCCTTCCTAAAAAATTAATGCTCTTTAGACCAAAACGAAATTAAGCAAACTCAAAATGGCCTATTGCTTTTGAGATCGTTGTTTATGCGCTCAATGGAAGCTTGTGATATCCACGATGCAAATTGCGCATTCTATTGCCATGGTAACCTAAACCAGCTGATATAAAATAGTGACGTAGAAATGACGTCTTTAAAAACTCGGGTGTCATGAAGCCTTCGAAAATTGACCAGCGAAAACTAAAACCATGCCCTCTGTTATTGGGAAAATGTTTATTTTCGTGTCACTGTTATGAAAAGAAACGTTTAGCAACGTCTTTTTATTTGGTGGCCTGCAAATCCACAATTTCAAAAGGAAAAATAACACCTGAGGTTTGAAATTCTTCTCGATCCTGATTGGCTAACATTTTTTCAGATCGCCTCGGCAGAAAACATTAAGCCTTTGTTCTTTGATTAAAAAATGATGAAGGTGCCGGAAATACAAGTTGCTTCTGGCTTCAACTGTCTTAATTTTAGACGCCGGTTCCTAACAAATGCAGTGAAAGTAATCTTAAATAAAACTAGAGTCTGGGAAACTAGGCGCTCAGCATCGGTCAATTCACGGCTGTCATTATAAGTCCTCAATATTTATCGATATAACGCTGTATGAACTCGAGAAACTAAGTCCTTATAGTCTCAAACAGCTGCTAGAAGCTATAGGTGATTGATACACGACTGAGAGAGAGTGATGTTAACGCGCATGCTCCGTTCCCTCGTATCTTAATTTGGATTAACTGATGAAAAATAGATATGAAGAATATCCTTCAGTATGCAAAATTATAAATTTTTAAACACGGTGGCACTGCAGTGTTAGTTATGCGCGTCTTGCGATTCGGGCTAAAATATCTTTTTACGTGAAAATGGCAAAACGTAGAGCGTGATTCGTGAATCCCAGGCTTACCGTTTATGTGTTTACTCGTTTATACAGTTTGTCTGTGACGCGTGAATTTTAAAAATATGGATGCGAGAAATGTTATTACTGCCGACTTCCCCCTGTGCCCCCCCTCCCCC